ACTGCTGGAATTGTAACCATAAATGGAAGTTTAATAGATTATTCTGATGCAAGATTAAAATATGATGTAGATTTACTTAAAAGCTATTGTATTAGTATGATTAAGAAATTCAAGCCTAAAACGTTTAAGAGAAAAGGTAGAGACGATAAGGATGCAATCCATATAGGTTATATTGCTGATGATTTATTAAAAGCAGTTCCAAAAGAAATTAGTAATGTAGTTCATAGCAGTCGTGAATATTTAGGTATTGAATATACAAAAGTTCCTATATCATTACATAAAGCTTTACTGGAAGTAACAGATAAAGTTGAAAAATTGGAAAAAGAAATTAAGGAATTGAAAAAAGGAAAATCTAAATAAACAATTAAAATATAAATATATAAATATATACATATATATACATAAATAATTAATATATATATATATATATGGACATTGACAGGAAAGTTAAAATAAAAGCATTATTGCAAAATAAGAGTATGATGGAAATATGCTACTGTGGTTGTAAAATTACTAAAATAAATAACAATAAATTTACATTAGATAAATGTGATAATACAGAATGTAATTTTAATCATTCTAAATTTGATGAATATATTGAAGAATTAATAAATAAAAGAGACGAAGAGATACATCAAAAACGTATGGAAAATATGTAGAGGAATAACACCGATTTTGAATGTAGTATTACTTCCCATTTTAATACCAATTAATGTATTTTTTTTATTATACATAATTTAATTATCTAATTGATTTTATTTAATGGGTAATTCAAATAGTAATGTTGAAACTTCAGGTATTGATAAAATCAATGATATTGATGTAGAACAATTAGATTTCAGTAATATTGATAAATTACAGTTGAACAAATTAGTATATAAATTGCAAGCGTTGAATTTATGTAGTTATAGTTTGTTCTGAATTAATAATATTAAAATTCTTAATATTATTAACCAAAAAAATCTGAATAAAATTTGCTAATAAAACTTTGTCTATCATCATTGATGACGTTAATAGTTACTTTTTTCAACCGTAATGAAATACAATCATTAACATTGTTTACAAATGAAAGTGTATTGTTGTTAATGTCTTTGTTCATAAAATACTACATATCAAATAAATGATTTGATGTTAAACTACGATTATCAACAGGACACGGACTTTTAATTGACTCAGTATTAATAAACATAGCGTAATCAATTGCTAGTTTAAATGGTTTATGTTTTTGATGTAATTTATTTAACTCACTTAAATTCAACATGTATGATATTCCATTATTAACATTGATATTATCAATTTCAATATATTGCATATTATTTAATTTGTAAGACTTATACACTGGTTTAAGTATTTGTTAATATATTTTTGAATAATGTTACTATTTCTAATTTTTAATAATCTAACATCACCTAAATTTCATTATCATACAAGGTTTTTAATGTCCAATGGTAAATCATAAAATATCATAAGATATTTTGACATGTATTTATTTAATTAGTAACTGTCAAATATTGAGAAAACTTGTTCATAAACATTTTTCAGGGTTCTTTTCTAAAAGGTTGATATATATAAAACTATGCGGTTCGTCAGTGGCGGTCTCATGTATTTTATAGATTAGTTTCTTGCTTTCGTGTAAATTATCGCTTCTAACAATTGCTGATAATTCATCTTGCAATATTTCTATCTCTTTGAAGTTTCTAACTTTATAATAAAACAAATGACTTATATTTACCCTAATACTTGGTGGCACGGTTAATGATTTTTGAAGACTGACAAGTGTTGATATTCCACTATGACGACCTCTAGAAAATAGAGAATTTAACAATTTGTTATTTCTTGTTATTGCTGGGTTATCAGACACATCATCCAATATAACTAATATATTAAATAACTTTTTCATTCCTTGTTTTTCTGATATTCAACTATTTTATTTTGAGTTTCTATAACTCTTTCTAAATCTTCAACATTGAACTCATCCCACCAACACGGGTCTTTAGCAGTATCTACTTTCAAACCTTCTTCAATGTATTTTTCAAAAGGCAACCAAATACTTTCCAAATTTACTGATGGAGACCAGATAAAAATTCTTTCAAATGCTCCTCTATAAATATCAAGTATCATTGGTACAAGCAAAGTTGATTTTCCAGAACCAGACGGACCTACAATCATCGCTCTCATCGGTAATTTAGGGGCAACCTCGTGCTTATTGTGCTTAAAGTCATATTTGATTTCATCAATTGGTTTTACATCAGGCATATTAAAAGTAGTATTAAAGACATTTAGAAAATAACTTAATATTATTTATTGTATGAAAGCATTGCTATGATATGAATGGGGTCTATCGTAGTAGAACAGGCTCTTTCATCAACTTCAATCATAAGCATTGAAACTAATTAGTTTGATTTAGTTTGAACCTCGCTTGTGTTTTCCAGTGCAAAGAAGACTGCACTGTTGCGCCCTCCGAATATTCTACCATGCATGAAATAGTAAGTTCAATTAATTATTTTAACAATTATTTCATCTCATTATTTAATATGGATAGAAGTTATTCAGATTATATTGTGATAATAGATGAAGTAGAGAATATGGAACAAGTTATTATAACTGATAATAGATGCAAGAAAGTATGCTTTTGTACATTAGAATTAATTAGTTAGGAATACAATATATGAAGAATAGAAATGTAAATGTTAATATAGATGGGAAGAAAGAAAAGCAAAAATAATAAGACAGAACCATGATGAAGAAAAAGAAGAAATGGTTAAAGAAACATCAGTTATTGAGTTTGCTTGTCCGATGTTTAAAAAGATGTTAGAAATGAAGAATGAATTAGAAATACAAGAGAAAGGACATTGTAAATGCTCGTGTGTTCCAACAAGTTTCAAAATAAGTAAAAATGTTAAGAAAATGAATATTGACAAAACTAAGGGGAAGGCATGCATCACCATCCGATAAGGGTGATAACGAAACACAGGAAACTATACGTGAAATGATGAAAGATTAGTATTTAAAGGGTAGATTTAACATAATTGCAACATTTAGTTTTAAAAGTTTAGTTTTATAATGAAGTATATATTTACATGAACAGTTGCAAAAGCACTAGGTTTCAATGTTATTTCATTGGATTTGAAAAATGCTGATATAAATACTGATATCTTGAAATGGGATTAGAAACAACTTGATAGGAACCATTTTGATTTTGTGTGGGCAAGTCCTCCATGCACGGAATACAGCAAAGCAAAAACAACAGGGGTCAGGAAAATTGAACAAGCAAATGCCATTGTTTTGAGAACCCTTGAACTCATTGATTACTTCAACCCCGAATACTGGTTTCTTGAGAGCCCTCAAACTGGCCTTTTGAAGGAACAGGAGTTCATGAAAGGACTACCTTTTCATGATGTGGATTATTGCAAATATGGAATGCCCTATAGGAAAAGAAACCGAATTTGGACTAACCTAACAACATGGAAACCCCGACCATTGTGTAAAAGGGATTGTGGGAATGCTAGGAATGGGAAACATATTGAAACAGCCCAAAGACTACCCAGTCAAACACGGGAACAATGGTGATAATGTAAAACATAAACAGGATGAACTATACAAAATACCTAGTGAATTAGTTTGTGAAATCTTAGTAAGTTTGGTGGATGATACAAATTGAGTTGGGGGTTGTGGTTGAAACTTGAAGTTGAAGCCATCAAGCATGATGCTGATGCAGTCAGACACAGCAAAACTCCCAAACAGCATGACCAAACTACCTCAAGCATATTTCCCATGAAACAGTTGGAAATTTTCAAGGAACTGGGGATTTATCCCCCATGAACTGGGGAGTTATTTCCCATGAACTGGGGATTTATTTCCCAGGAACCGGGGATTTATTGCACATGAACTGGGGGTTTATTTCCCATGAACTGAGGACTTATTTCCCATGAACTGGGGATTTATTTCCCAGGAACGGGGGATTGATTTCCCATGAACTGGGGATTTATTCCCCTTGAACTGGGTTAATAAATCAAACTCATAGTATAGTCATAACATGTAGAATCCTTAATTCTTAATTGAAATATAATTATAACATGTACAATATTGTATGTTGTAATTATACTATACTTATGGTTTGTAGAGATTGCATTATTTTAATTTTCCCTAATTTGCTTATCTCTTTCAAAGTGCGTTGTTTGAACTTGGTATGCTCTTTTGATTTTTTCGTGCTTTGACTGTTGTGTATTTATTTTGTTTGATACTCTTTTTATATTTTTTGTTGTTATACTGCTTTGAAATTTGTTAGTGTGTGTTTTTGAGTTTGTGTTCTTTGATGGTTTTTAGTTTTGCTGTTTTGTCGGTATGCTTGTTTGAATTATTTAATGTTGCGTGCTGTGGTTAAATATTAACCAGGCTCCCGCCTGCTGCCGCCGACCCTCGGCGCATTAAGGGAAAAGTCACAAGGACCGGTCCTGAAACACGTCCGCAAACCCAGGGACCACTTATAAGATTTTCTACGACCACAAACAAGGATTAACGGAAAAAGCGGAAATATGGCAGCTAGTCCGTTAATTGCCGCTTGGGCCGGCTTGCGCCCAAGCCCTTCGAGTTGGCCCAGGAGCAGTCGCCTGTCCCGGGTCGCCCTGAAACTGGCCCTCCCGAAACTGCCCCGGCGACAGTGGCTGGTCTGAGTCTGGCGCGGTTTGACTCGACGTATTGGACTCTCTTGCAGATTAGATCCAGGGATCCTCTACTACCACAAGGATTAGCGGAAAAGTCAGACAGACGGCAGCGTCAATGACCGCACGGGCCGGCTCGCGCCCAAGTCACGTTAGAAACAAGGCCGTCGGTGCCCCTCAACCGGTCGCAGGGAGCGGGGACCACTTCACAAGCAGGAAAACCGCATGGGCTATGTGTTGTGCTTTCCCGGAACAGCTTCTTGTTAAAGCGACCCTCAAAGCAGCCGCAGGATTCTGAACTCGGAAGTGCACGTTCTGTAATAGAAACCTGGGCCACAGGCAGGTGAACGACCTGAGGGCAGAGCTGAATGATGGAGCCCAGAATCGCAGCACCAAGCGCCGCCAGGAGGGAGTCCACAGTAGATACACTGCAACCCTTGGCACGCTCAAAGGATCTGCAAGACAAGCAGATTGCGATTGTTGAAAAGAAGGCGTGGGCAGTGCATATTGTGCGAGTCTCAATTTCGTGCGGCAGGTGCTCACACGCTTGCTCGGAGAAGCGCGGCAATCAGAAAATGCATTCGGATTGCCCTTAGCCCATTGCCTGTGCGCATCGTCAAGAGGCGCTTCCCAGCTAAGGCCACCGCTGCTTTCCACTGTGAACGAGGCACGGTTTTTGATGCAGCCCCATGGGCAGGCATGGAAATTGTCGAATTAGCTGCCCACTCCGCTTAGCGCAGCAGCTCTTCACGCGTTTGGACCGCTCCTTCTAACTAGCAAGCAGCCACGTGATGGTTGCGAATCGTATTCATTTGGTTTCTTATGCTGGGATGATTTTGGTTTCTTTGGCTGCAGTACTGAAGATTTTGTGGAAACAGTTGCAAGGTGCTGTAATTGCAGCTGTAATTGCAGCTTTTATGTTTTGGTTTGTTTGCCTTCATACAGCAGAATTCTCGGGACGTCCTCCCGCACACAGTACATGCCTATCAGCATCATCCACTTGGCAACCTTGGGCCACTTTGGGTGTCAGGAGAGCAAGACCTGTGAGGGCTTTGGCGCGACCTGCTTCTGCCTCACTGCCTCAACTGACCAAGTCCCCGAATGAGTGTCTCAGGCACTACTGCCAGCCATTTCACTGAGGCGTGCTTGTCATGTAGGATGCGACTTGGCTCGGCCTCGGCAGGCTGCGACTCTGAGCGTTTGCTCAGAGGCCAGGGGATTTGTTGCAAGTGGCGCCAGTGAATTGGGTGCAGGCTCCCAGCTCTAAAATGGCAATGACCATGACTCAGCTTCCAGAGGCAGAGCTTGCACTTGTGAAGAAGGTCAGGTGTGCTGTGGCAGGTGCCAAAGATTCCAAGGCACGATGCTTTGCACTCTGCGCACTTTGGACATTTGACATGTTGGACAGGCTGGCAGCAACGGACATGAACTGGAAGGAGAGAAAGTACGAAGGTAAGTTGTCAGCGAGGGCCGGGGACTGAGCTGCGTTCGATCCTTGTCACGACAATTGCGCTAAGCATTGCGCTATTTGATGCCATTTCATGTTTCTTCGACGTTTCATGTTGCTCCTGTGCACGTCAGGTCAGAGCGCCTCAGCCGCGGAGGTCCAGGCCAATCCAAACAGACGAACAAACGGACTGGCGCACCCCCTTTGCACGCAGAAGAGAACGAAGAGAAAGGGTCATGACGCAGAGGGAGAGAGGGCTGAGTGCGCAGGTTCCCTGCAATCCAGCGTCGAGGACGCAGCGCTGGCAGCTGTAATCCCTTCCGCCTACAAATACATCCACCCTTATTAATAAATACGCGTTTTCAAGCCAACACCAACAAAAACAGACCCTCCCTTTTGCTTTTTAATTCGCCTAATACGAAACCAATACCACTAAACTCCTGACAGCCCAGAATAGGGGCGCTTGAAATGTTTTCCTTGTCATGTCGCCTTTCAAATTTGAATTGACAAATCAACAAACAGTGCCCTAAGCAACTTCATACAAGTTCCTTTCGATTTTGACGGTTTTACATTGATTTGCCTGGTTTGCTGTGTGCTGCTCGATGCCACAGCAAGCTCGGTAAAGACACTCATCACGTAATCAGTGCCTAACTCCTTAGTTAGCAACAATCACAGTGGCGGTGCCCAGTACAGAGCAAGTCGCTGCAAGTCATACCTTTGTAACATACCAGTACTCGTTCACTGCAGTACCCGCACACGCGCGTGCCCCAGAAATATGCTTCGCACCCCTGCAAGTAAGTAAGCTCCTTAGCTCCTTCAAGCGCCCTTAGGTTTCAGTGTCTTTGCCTGCGGCCTCCAGCCGGCTACGCCTTGAAGTTAACGCCTAGCCAGAAGGCCCGAAAAACCAACGGAAAAAAGCAAGGACCGCGCAGCGCACGAGCCAGCCACAACAGGAGCAAAACGGACAGATCAACAGCCCAACTCTCAGCATAGCAGTTTTCGATGGTATTTACGGCGTTTTGTAGAGCAAGGGCCCAGCATCACCGGCATGCCCGGCAGCGCTTGGCGAAAATGAGCCTTGCCTATACCCTTTCGGCACTTCTGAAAAAAAGTGCTTCATGGGTTGAGAGGCTTTTTGGAAGGAAGTCTCGATGATGCAGACCAAGCCCCGCTGAAGCATCACCCAACCTCACACCCTGATGATGTCAGCCACACTGAGTCACTGCCTCAACCCTGCCTGTACACGATGTGAAATTTTGCGAGGGTTTCGAGCTGGTGACGCAGAGGTGCCGGATTTAGTCAACGCATCACGACCAAGTGATGGTCGGCGGCGCAGGGGTGCAGCCCCCATAGCTAAAGCTAGCAGGCAAATTGCCTAGCGGCGACATGCTACCCCAAAAGCGTAGCTGGACTCTCAAATAGAACGGGCTACGCCCCGCGCCGACCCTTTGATTTCGTAGGGGTTTGCTCCGCCGGAGTCCAGGAGTCCAGAAGAGAGCCATTTGCGCGCCACACGCCTGTTTGTAAAGCTAGGTTTTGAGATGCAAGGCCGCGGGAGTCTAGCCAGAGTGTGTCCGGGCCTGCCGGCACCGCGGCTGGCGAGCGCAAGAGCCTGCCAAAGACGCAATCAGCAAGCTAGGTTTTGAGAGCATGTGCCATGGCTAAGCTGCTAGAGGAGGGCTCACAGGGACACCATTTCTGCGTCACGGACGCTTTCAGAAAGCGGGCTGGGTTTTGAGAGCAAGTTCCATCTGCTGCCAACAGAGCCTGCCAGAGTTTACCAACAACTAGTTTTTGAGAGCAACTGCCCTAGCCAAGCTGCTGCCAACGAAGCCCATGCGAGGCCGGCTGGGGGAGGAGTCTGCCACCCTGCGGAAGATCAAAAGGGAAGCCGTGGCAATGCTTCTGCCTTGTGGCGACGGTTATAAACCCGCAAAAAGCACCCGACATTTGCAATCCTCGGCAACGGGTGCACCTGGTCAATGGGAAGCTGGCGTGCGATCCAGCGATTCACACGCACGTGCCGGGGTGACTTGGTGGCGCGGCTGCGCTGGTGAAACCTTGCAAACCGGTCCGATGAAAGCATCATTAGAGAGATGCGAACCTCACATCCGCCGACCCTTGCTGCAGTGCTGCAAGCGGAGATGAGGGTCCTTGTCGGATCAATGGTCTCCCCCCATCCACGCTGCCACATTGCCGCACATTTGCCAAGTCCCACCAACGCCACTTTCGGGAAAGTTGATTCTTTGTCTTCGCACAAATCAAGACCCAAGCATCAGAGATGCCTTTAGTAAAACATGGTTTCGAAGTACTTGCCAACCCATGAAGGTGCACTAAGCATCGATTTGTCAAGGGTTGACATTGCAGAGATATTGACAGTCTGTCAGAGAAACGTAGTCAGTGATCAGTCTGCCGAGCTTGCTTGTCTCTAGTGACTGAATTCTGCAAGCCTTTGCAACAACCTACGCTGTTCTTTTGCAACCTATGCTCTTTTGTTGTGTCAATTGCCCTTGTGTCAATCTCAATGTTGTTCCGCGCTCTTGTTCGCCAGTTGTTTACCCTCTCGACTAAATGCGCATAGGTGCGCACCACTGCGCCCTTGCGAGGAATCTCGGGAGAGCTGGAAGAAGGCCACGTTCCCCAAAGAAATGAGCTTGATGAGGTCTAAGACAAATAGGTTCCATGCGTGAATTGGATTGAATCGGTGAATTCATGCCAAGCGCTTCAAAAGAGGACAGGATGAGTTCATGCAAAGCGAGCATTGTGTGTTGGATCAGGATTGTCAACTGCGCAGCCTTGGTTTCAGCGCATGGCACTGTCTGCAAGGACCCTTCAGTGAGCATTCCCAGGATCGGTTTGCATTGACATGTGCGCTTGAGGAATCTACAGGCTGAGGCAATTAGGATGGCTTAGGCAAGTTCCAATTGTAGCTCATATGTGTGGCTCCTTGTGGCTCTGAACACTTTTGCGTGTGTGATAGCATGATATCGCATGTGATGTCACGACGTCCTGCCAGGACATGACACCGATTTTGTCCAAGTTCCTTGACGTGCGTGCAGACGCAGCGGACGCATGTACAGCTCGCAACTGTCAGCTTGCATAGCTCATGTCTTTCTTGAATCGCATTCTCTTTCTTGCCGTCGCATGCAATTTCTTTCGGCAACAAACTATTCAGTCACTAGCGCTTAAAGTGCTGGTGCTGTGAAGCGCGTCAATCCGGAGTGAGATTGGGGTAGGAAAAGGATAAAACAAAGAATGAGTGGAGTCACAAACTTTGAGAGCAGCCAAAAAGGGCACGATGACAACATTAGGGAGAAACAGGCAGATGTTCATGACTTTGCCGCGTTTTGTAACTCTACCATAGTCTTACCATATTCTGAACAGATGTTCAGCCAATTGTTTCAGCGCAAGAGACCGCTGAGTGCCTCTTGCTGGGCTGATCAACGGAGCATCACTCGCCCTTGGCACGTCTGAAGTGTGAGTCGTTTGGGTCATTTTACCTGCCGGCTTGTTCAGCACTTCAGCCTGCGTTGACAGGCTTGCGCCACTGACTTACGGGCATCGAACCACGAACCCCACACTGCGCTGGACCTGAAGATTGTTCGTGGAACCGTGGAACGCAGTCAATCTTTTTGGACACAACTTTTGGTATGGCTCGGCGCTTTGGCGTTCTATGGTGCATCCTTCTGATCGAGGCGCGCGCCTCAGAAGTTCGGAAGGACCACCTGAAGCAAAGAGCTTCACCAGACGGTTCTTTGATTCATGAAGGCATGGTATTCCAGGCATTTTTTTTCTGGACGCCCTGAGGTCAGCCAAGCCTCTGTGGTCGATATCTTGACACAGGCCCGTTCAGTCAGCCCAACTTGCATTCGGATTCGCATGTTTCATCATTTTTTCCTAGCTTTGAAGGTGAAGACCTTCAGAGATGCAGGCTTGGCGTTGTTCGACGGTCTTGCTGACGAGCTGAAGACTCGTGGCGAGGACCAAGCTGCACCGAGCCGCGTGACATGTCCCACGCAACCCACGAAACGCCCACGAAACGCCCATGGCATGTCCATGTCCATGGCATGTCCATGGCATGTCCATGACATGCACGGCCTACGGCTTTAGTGTGGCCCTGAGGAGAAGGCCTCTGGGAAGGCCAAGAAATTCAGCGATGACTGGCTCAGTGTCCTGGGCGTGCAGAAGGGTCTTACTGGCCTGGCAAAGGACTGCGCTTCAATCTTGTGCAGACTGAATTAGCAGACTAATGGCTATGCTTTGAATTAAGCCGCTACTTAAGCCGCTTAAGCCCTTGAATCGTCAACGTCACCTTTTTGGGCTTGCAAGGTAACTGCCACAGTGACGAGTCCTTGTGTTGCCTGGACACTGATGCTGTGAAAGCTTTACAGCACATTCTTCCCGCCTTGAGAACTGTTTTGAATGCGCACAGTGCAGCCTTCCTGAAATTGCTGCTTGCGGAAGCCGTTTGGCCAAGGATTTGAGTTGCTAGAAGCATCCTCCACAGGATTTCACTGTCAACTACCTGGGAAGGGTCAGTCGTTCACTCAATTCACTCTTGCGTCAAGTGTCCATGTGATTTGTGTGCATCATTCAGGTTATCACAGTGTCAACGGCCCTTTGGTGGATGCTATCAAGGAGGCCAGGCGGATGATGCACATGATGTGCATGCTTGACATGGCTTGACACGGCCTGACTTCCAACATGTTGTATGTTGCTCCCCACAAGGCTGCGGCAGCTGTTCCAAATGCAAGAAGTGGTGAGGTGCGAGAAACAGGGATGCGCCTGTCTCGAGCACGGAATGGCTGGCCAGGAGGACCTGAAATCATTCTTAAGGCACCTAAAGAAGGCAGGGCTTGGGAAGATTGCCTTCCACTTGTCATATCTGCCCGAGGTGTGCTTCGAAGGCAAGCGGCTCTTTCAATCAGGCGCGGAATGAAAACAGAGCTAAGTTCGGCAAGAAAAGATTGCAAAATCGCATTGCCCAGTTTGATGGACTTCCATATTATACCAGCGCAAGTTTGGATTGGTTTTGGCAGTCCTGGCAATAGGATTTGTGTGACCGTATAATACATTACTGTCAGGCAATGTTGCCAGCATGACAGTCACACCCGACGCATCATAAGATTCACCATCACAAGGATTCACATAGGACTCGCATTATTGACGTGTTCATGACATATACATATGACATAGTTGTGACACACTCATCAACATGTCATCATACAGTTCATGACAATTTAGTGACATGGTCATGACATATTAATGACATGGTCAGCGCTACTTAAGACATTTTGATGACAGCTTTACGTCATATTCATGACATATTCAAGGTCATGAACATTTTGTGGACATATTTATGTCCTATTCAGGACATATCCAAGACATATGCATGACAGGCACAGCATGTCTGTGACATTATCATGACATGTTCATAACATTTTTTATGACATAGTCGTCATGACATATTCATGACAGATTCGTGTCATAGTCTTCATGTGCACAGGTCGTATTCATGACATATTGCTCGAGGTATCACCATAGCATGATCGATCAAGGACATTCTAGTTTGAGTTGCTTGTTTGTGGCTGGTAGCGGAGCTCCTGCAGCGTCCGAGGCTCCTTAGTCATGGTTTTGCTTTTATGGGAACTGTGTCTCTCCTGTTGACATAGATACATACTCACCATTGACATAGTTCATGACACATTCACGAGACGTCCAGACATTTTCAGGACATAGTCACTACTCACATAAGCATGACCTATCCATGAGATCCTCAGACATGTTCATGACAAAGCCACTATTGACAGTCATGCCATATCCATGAGATATTCAGACATGTTCATGACATAGTCACTATTGACATAGTCATGATATATTCATGAGATCTTCAGACATGTTCATGACCTATTCATGACATGTTCAGACATGTTCATGACAGAGTCACTATTGACATAGCCCTGGCATGTTCATGACACTACAGACATGTTCATGACATAGCACCTATTGACATCGTCATAACATATTCATGGGACATTTAGACGTGTTCAGTGACTTTTAGCATAATCATGACATGTTCATGGCACAGTCACTGTGGACATAGTCATGACATGGTCATAGAATATTCAGACATGTTCATGACATATTCAATACGTTTTCCGACACGTCATGACTACGTCAGCATCTACATAGTCATGTCCTACTCATGAGATATGCAGACATGTTCATAACATAGTCACTGTTGACATAGTCATGACACATCCATGAGATATTCAGAAATGTTCATGACGTAGTCTCCATTTACACAGTCGTGGCATAATCATGAGATATTCAAACATGTTCATGACATAAGCATAGTCGCTATTGACATAGTCATGACATACGGACATGTTCTTGGCATAGTCACTGTTGACATAGTCATGGCATGTTCATGAGATATTCAGACATGTTCATGACATAGACACTGACAAAGTCATGACATGTTTATGACAGATTCAATCATGCTCCAGTCATGACATATTCATTGATTTTTTTAGACATGTGTATAGCATAGTCACCACATGGCATTTTCATGACATATCTTCATTCTCTTCCGCAAGGCTACAGCGATAGCAGGCACTGCGACCCGGATGATTGGTGGCACCGCACCTCACGCACTCCCAGCCTGTCTCTGCTGACCTGAGCCTATCACGGTGATCCTCTTTCCGATCATCATCCTTCTCCGTTTCAAAGCTCGGCCGCGACCAAGCAACTCCAGACCACTCCGACCATGCGCCACTCCTTCGCTTGATATTCCGACGCCAAGGGGCGTTGCCAAGAGCGGGATCAGTTCCTCTGACAGGGCGATCCAGCGTCTCCTCGGAGCGCTTGGTCTTCTTGGACCCGCGTCGGCTCTCCTTCTGCAGCACTGACCCGCCACCTGACTCGGGGCGGTCATCGCCGCTCTCTTCATCTTCTGGCATCTCATCTTCTTCATCTTCTTCTCCTGACATGTCTTCGTCATCTAGCTCCACTTTTAGCAAGGGTGATGACGAGTCGTAAGCGAATCACTTCCCCTTCCGAAAGCGACATCGCAAGTACAAGGGGGGCATCTTGCCACGCAACTCTTTCATGGAACGGAGCGCTGCGTAGACATCACGGGCTCGAAGTTTCTCCAGGAGCAACCCAAGGCTTCAAGATTTGTCGAGATCGCGGGGAGCAAGCCCATGTGGACCCGGTGTCGTGTCAAGCCACCAGCAAATCACTCCAATCCTCAGCATGCCCTTTGGCGATGTCTCTCAACAGGATTCCCAACACGTTTTGGACTTCTTGTGCTACCAAGCTCACATGGCCTCACGGGCGAACTGAACCATTGGCCTTCAACCAGAGTACAGTACTCGCTCATCCTCCGTGTCACACACCTCGAAAAGGCCCTCTGAACTTCCTTCCCGGTAAGGGATTTCATCGGCTCCAGCAACACTGGGGCTTAAACAGCAGACGTACTTGAGTGAATACTTGTTTCCTTGCTGGTGGGCCCTTCGCATAGCCTGCCAGCAGAAGTCCGCTACGGGCTTCACCCTTTTGAAGCAGCCTTGGATGGCCTGGCCCGTCCTTTGCAACATGACAGGCACTTCCCTACCCAAGTTTGTATGTCCTCTTTCATGGTTTCCCACCAGGCAACGCGATGCAAGAGCGCATAGGTCTTCTCTGACAAGCACACCGCAGTGAAGCTGCAGGAAACAAGCCCAGCCCCCCGATTCGGAACAGGAACGAACACAGTGCGGGAACCTTCCAAAACAACCGCTCGCTCCAACAAGCTTAGGGTTTCTTCGGCCCTCCTGAAATGCTCTGGGTTTCTGAAAGCTTCACAAGTCTGACACGTAAATTTCCTCAGATCCTCTCACGCTCCTGACGCCAACTGGGTTACCTCACGACCCCCAGCCGATTTCTGGCTGCTGGAGTAGTTGACCAAAACCAACTTGCTCGTGTAGGGGACCTTTACACAAAAGGCAATGGTGGGCTTGCTGATTCCGATCTCAATTGGGCCCCAATGCTCATGCACCCCTCTGCGCGCCTGCTTTCCTGTCCCTGCGTTTCCCCAACTGAGATCTTGCCACCCCCGTCATCCCAAGACTCAACACTCACACCGAGCGAACCAACCAACGGAACTCCGGAAGACCTTCCTTCCGTCCACCACCTCTCGGTGATTGTGCCAGTTCACATCCGGGAGCGACCCGCCAAGCCTCTTGCGAAGCCGCAAGAAACACTTGCTTTGTGCCCACAAGAGCTGGAGCGCGAAAAGGTGTGCTCACGAAGAGAGCAAGGATGAGGTGAGCAAAGCTCAGCTTGCAGCCGAGAGACTGAAGGGCAACAATATTCATGTTGTATTCAGACGCATGGCATAGTATGACAATGTATGACATATTCATGAGATATTCAGACAGGGGCATGGCCCAGTCACTGTTGGCAGAGTCATGACAGAACACGAAATACTTAGAGCTGTGCATGGCATAGTCCTCAGACATGTGCGTGGCAGTCACCGTTGACAGAGTCCTGACGTATTCATGGGACATTCAGTCATGTGCATGGCGTAGTCAGACATGTGCATGGCACAGTCACCGTTGACAGAGTCATTACATATTCATGAGATGAGATACTCACACATGTGCGTGGTATAGTCACCATTGACAGACTCATGACATATTCATGAGACGAATGTCATGTGCATGGCATAGTCACTATTGACAGAGTCATGACATATTCATGAGATGCTCAGACATGCGTGGCATAGTCACCATTGACAGAGTCATGACATATTCATGAGACATCAAATCACTATTCACAGAGTCACGACGTATTCATGAAATACTCAGACATGTGGCGTGGTCAATGGCCATATTCATGAGACATTCAGTCATGCGCATGGGTTATGCACATAGCATAGTCACTGCTGAGAGTCATGACATATTCATGAGGTATTCAGTCATGTGCGTGGCAAAGTCACTATTGGCGTCGCATACTCATAAAACATTCAAGAGCCACTGTTGGCAGAGTCATGACTTATTCATGAGATACTCAGTCATGTGCATGGCATAGTGACTATTGACAGAGTCGTGACATATTCATGAGATATTCAGTCATGTGCGTGGCGTAGTCACTATTGGCGTCGCATATTCATAAAACATTCCAGAGCCACTGTTGACAGAGTCATGACTTATTCATGAGATACTCAGTCATGTGCATGGCATAGTCAGCATTGTCAGAGTCATGACACACTCATGAAATATCCAGTCATGTGCGTGGCGTAGTCACTATTGTCGTCGCATATTCATAAAACATTCCAGAGCCACTGTTGACAGAGTCATGACTTATTCATGAGATACTCAGTCATGTGCATGGCATAGTCAGCATTGTCAGAGTCATGACACACTCATGAAATATTCAGTCATTCGCGTGGCATAGTCACTATTGGCGGCGCATATTCATAAAACTTTCCAGAGCCACTGTTGACAGAGTCATGACTTATTCATGAGACACTCAGTCATGCGCATGGCATAGTCAGTCTTGTCAGAGTGATGACACACTCATGAAATATTCTGTCATTCGCGTGGCATGGTCACTATTGGCGGCGCATATTCATAAATCATTCCAGAGCCACTGTTGACAGAGTCATGACTTATTCATGAGATACTCAGTCATGTGCATGGCATAGTCAGTATTGTCAGAGTCATGACACACTCATGAAATATTCAGTGATTCGCGTGGCGTAGTCACTAATGACTTATTCATGAGATACTCAGTCATGCGCATGCCATAGTCAGTATTTGTCAGAGTCATGACACACTCATGAAATATTCAGTCATTCGCGTGGCATAGTCACTATTGGCGTCGCATATTCATAAAACATTCCAGAGCCACTGTTGACAGAGTCATGACTTATTCATGAGATACTCAGTCATGTGCATGGCATAGTCAGCATTGTCACAGTCATGACACATTCATGAAATATTCAGTCATGTGCGTGGCGTAGTCACTATTGGCGTCGCATATTCATAGAACATTCCAGAGCCAGTGTTGACAGAGTCTTGACTTATTCATGAGATACTCAGTCATGTGCATGGCATAGTCAGTATTGTCAGAGTCATGACACACTCATGAAATATTCAGTCATTCGCGTGGCATAGTCACTCTTGGCGTCGCATATTCATAAAACATTCCAGAGCCACTGTTGACAGAGTCATGACTGATTCATGAGGTACTCAGTCATGTGCATGGCATAGTCAGTATTGTCAGAGTCATGATACACTCATGAAATATTCAGTCATGTGCGTGGCGTTCGCATATTCATAAAACATTCCAGAGCCACTGTTGACAGAGTCATGACTGATTCATGAGATACTCAGTCATGCGCATGGCATAGTCAGTATTTGTCAGGGTCATGACACACTCATGAAATATTCAGTCATGTGCGTGGCATAGTCACTATTGGCGTCGCATATTCATAAAACATTCCAGAGGCACTGTTGACAGAGTCATGACTGATTCATGAGATACTCAGTCATGCGCATGGCATAGTCAGTATTGTCAGAGTTATGACACACTCATGAAATATTCAGTCATTCGCGTGGCATAGTCACTCTTGGCGACGCATATTCATAAAACATTCCAGAGCCACTGTTGACAGAGTCATGACTTATTCATGAGATACTCAGTCATGTGCATGCAGAATCAGTATTGTCAGAGTCATGACACACTCATGAAATATTCAGTCGTTCGCGTGGCATAGTCACGATTGGCGTCGCATATTCATAAAACATTCCAGAGCCACTGTTGACAGAGTCATGACTTGTTCATGAGATACTCAGTCATGCGCATGGCATAGTCACTATTTGTCAGAGTCACGACACACTCATGAAATAGTCAGTCATTCGCGTGGCATAGTCACTCTTGGCGTCGCATATTCATAAAACATTCCAGAGCCACTGTTGACAGAGTCATGACTTGTTCATGGGATACTCAGTCATGCGCATGGCATAGTCACTATTTGTCAGAGTCACGACACACTCATGAAATATTCAGTCATTCGCGTGGCATAGTCACTCTTGGTGTCGCATATTCATAAAACATTCCAGAGCCATGTTGAAGAGTCATGACTTATTCATGAGATACTCAGTCATGTGCATGGCATAGTCAGTGTTGTCAGAGTCATGACACACTCATGAAATATTCAGTCATTCGCGTGGCATAGTCACTCTTGGCGTCGCATATTCATAAAACATTCCAGAGCCACTGTTGACAGAGTCATGACTTGTTCATGAGATACTCAGTCATGCGCATGGCATAGTCACTATTTGTCAGAGTCACGACACACTCATGAAATATTCAGTCATTCGCGTGGCATAGTCACTCTTGGCGTCGCATATTCATAAAACATTCCAGAGCCACTGTTGACAGAGTCATGACTTGTTCATGAGATACTCAGTCATGCGCATGGCATAGTCACTATTTGTCAGAGTCACGACACACTCATGAAATATTCAGTCATTCGCGTGGCATAGTCACTCTTGGCGTCGCATATTCATAAAACATTCCAGAGCCACTGTTGACAGAGTCATGACTTGTTCATGAGATACTCAGTCATGCGCATGGCATAGTCACTATTTGTCAGAGTCACGACACACTCATGAAATATTCAGTCATTCGCGTGGCATAGTCACTCTTGGTGTCGCATATTCATAAAACATTCCAGAGCCACTGTTGACAGAGTCATGACTTATTCATGAGATACTCAGTCATGTGCATGGCATAGTCAGTGTTGTCAGAGTCATGACACACTCATGAAATATTCAGTCATTCGCGTGGCATAGTCACTCTTGGCGTCGCATATTCATAAAACATTCCAGAGCCACTGTTGACAGAGTCATGACTTGTTCATGAGATACTCAGTCATGCGCATGGCATAGTCACTATTTGTCAGAGGTCACGACACACTCCATATAATATTCAGTCATTCCGCGGGCCTAGTCACTTTGGCGTCCATATTCATAAAACTTTCCAGAGCCACTGTTGAACAGAGTCAAGACTTGTTTCTTGAGATACTCAGTGACCATGCGCAGCATAGATCACTTATTTGTCAGAGTCACGACACACTCATGAAATATTCAGTCATTCGCGTGGCATAGTCACTCTTGGCGTCGCATATTCATAAAACATTCCAGAGCCACTGTTGACAGAGTCATGACTTGTTCATGAGATACTCAGTCACGCGCATGGCATAGTCACTATTTGTCAGAGTCACGACACACTCATGAAATATTCAGTCATTCGCGTGGCATAGTCACTATTTGTCAGAGTCACGACACACTCATGAAATATTCAGTCATTCGCGTGGCATAGTCAGTCTTGGCGTCGCATATTCATAAAACATTCCAGAGCCACAGTTGACAGAGTCATGACTTGTTCATGAGATACTCAGTCATGCGCATGGCATAGTCACTATTTGTCAGAGTCACGACACACTCATGAAATATTCAGTCATTCGCGTGGCATAGTCACTCTTGGCGTCGCATATTCATAAAACATTCCAGAGCCACTGTTGACAGAGTCATGACTTGTTCATGAGATACTCAGTCATGCGCATGGCATAGTCACTATTTGTCAGAGTCACGACACACTCATGAAATATTCAGTCATTCGCGTGGCATAGTCACTATTCAGTCATTCGCGTGGCATAGTCACTATTTGTCAGAGTCACGACACACTCATGAAATATTCAGTCATTCGCGTGGCATAGTCACTATTGACAGAGTCGTGACATATTCATGAGATATTCGTGCCACATCTTGAACATTGCAGGTGGCTCATTGCACGAGATGCTGTCGGACCTGCTCGAGCTGCTGGATGCCGCTGAGGTGAAGAAGGCGAAAGGATGCGAACCTTTGCTTCGCTTCCGGTGCTCAGAGGCTGAATGAAGTTCCGAACGATTCCTGGGCTTCCTGTTGGGAGGCGCTGCCGACAGTGCTTCGTGCAAACCAGCAGTTGAAGGAGGCCAGTGTCGAGCGGGAGTCTTGACTTTCACCCGCAGCTCTCCCAAGGCCTTGAACTATTTCTCAGGGCCCCGCGTAGAGGCGGGCGACAGCGCTGATGCACGCACGCAGATTACGCGGCGCAGGCAAATTCAGAGCTCTGAGAGCACGAATGCAGCATGTGTGGATGAAACTGGCGTTGCTGTACCAGCGCGGCTGCTGGCGACTTGCATGCTGAGAACAACGGCTCGAATCGTTGCCGTTGGCCATGTGCCGTCTGGACTGCGCTTCCGTTGCGTCCGCGACTAGGTTGCCACTCAGCGCTTCTAAAGGAAGCGGCGACGGGTGGAACCAACACCATTCCAGCCAACTTCAAGTGCAGCAGAACAGCGTACCCACGCTGCCAAAGCCTGGACAGCCTTCAGATGTCAGACGCTGATACAGTTTTCCACAGACTTGATGCAAACCGATGCCAGCTGTTGATGGCCAGTTTTCATCGAAGGCCAGTATACAAGACCAGTGAGACTTCGCAAGCTCATGTACTCAATGCGCAATGACTCAGTCTTGTCGCGCTGGACTGTTTGGGTGTCATTTGAGTCATGGTGCAGTTGGCTTGAGGCTGTGCTTACACACGATGCGTCTGCCAGGAAGGCGTCGCAGCCAATTGTCGAGGAGAATCGGCCTTGCAGGGCGGGAACATACGGAATTGATTCCACCCATAGATTGCTGCGCATTGCCTTTCGAGTTTTTTGCAGGAGACAAAGCCATTGGAGGGCTCACCTGTGTGGGGTTGCAGGTTTCGGCAGCGCCATCGCGGAGTGCTGCTCTCAGCTGGAGCATTGCCTTCCTGTGTGAGCTGTGAGCACTAGCCCACTGGCTGCAATGCGCCCACTACATCCTGTTTATAGCCGGGTGGTACCACTAGAGTCACTAGAGTTTAGGTTCTTTTGACCACAAGGACACTCGCCTGAAGCGTGGCAAGGACAAGAAGGTGGGGCCGGTGGGGACCACGCCCTTGTACGCAGAGCAATTGGACAGGAACAGCTCAGCCTGCTGGATTTGTTGGCTGCAGCTCGAGTCGCAGATGCACAAGAGGAGTTGGGCGAGAAGACTCATGACGAGGCGACATGTGAAGCAGATGCTCCAGCGCTCGCTGCAAACGAATTTCGTTCAAGAACATGCGCGCTTTTCAATACATGCATATGACATATATATACATATATATTATATATATATATATATATATTTTTACCAGCTATATATGCGAGGCGATCATTTTGAGTGACGCAGAGCTAACCGGATTTGCGCGAGAAAGCCAGGAAAACCGAGAAAAACCGAGCAAGCCGGAAAACCGAGCAAACCGAGCGAACTCAGAAAACGGTTTGTGTGTTTACTCACATGTGTTTCAGTTAACCCTTGCATACGCAACACGGATGCTCAAGCAACAGCCACCGCATGCTGTCAAAGCATTAGCTTTAAATTTGTTCATGAGCAGTTTCCAGCATGCTTAGCTTTGCTTTCGCTCATGAGCTCAACAGCATGGTTGGTTGGCTTGTGCTTTCAGCTTGTTTGCTTTGCTTTCAGCTTGCTTGGATTTTCAGAGATGTTGTTTCAACACACACATCCAGCTTGTGCAGCCTGGCGCCATGATTTTCTGACCTGGTTTTTCATGCTTTCCTGGTGCATTCGACACCGTATGTGAGCCGCCTTATGGGCCAGGTCTTTTCGCAATACAGGACACGTATTGTGGAGCGGTGGGCTTCGCTGGTTCGAGCCCTATTCCGCGTCAGGCGATTGCAGCGGTATTTTCATAACATTGGAATCAGGCTGCAATGGATCAGCCGGTCGGCTATCGCGTCAACTACCGGGTCGCCAGTGAGCAACCTTTCGCACTCGGGTGACAAGGCAGAACTGCCAGGTCCCCCTGCTTTGGAAGACCCTTTCGAACCCCTTCCTTCTTTCACTGGCGTGGTGGTCAAGCGTCACCGCAATTTGGGCCGCGGCCCTTCGAGCATGGGACAGGCATTTCAGTCTTCCCTGGATTCACATGTTCCTTCTGTGGACTCATTGTCAGCGGTAGATGAGACTGCTTCAGGTTCCTTTTCTCCAGCCTGCCCGCGTTCGAGCCGCACAAGAAGGCAACGGCTTTTCTGAGCGCAACTTGCCCCAGCATGCGGGCCTCCCCCCACCAATGTTTCATCTTCGGGGTCTTGCGAAACCTCGGCACCTTGCAGCCCGTTGGTGTCATCCTTACCCCCCAGCAGCAGTGCCAATTCAGTGTCCAGCCACTTCACCCATTTCCAGTACCTGGGATCCGGCATCTACGGCTAGCAACTTTCCAGCAGTGCTTCGCTTTGTGATCGTGTTTCTTTCCGTGTTCCACAGGTGAGTATCCCGACCTCTGCCGCAGGTGTGCGTTTGCAGGAGGACCAGCATTCCGCGTTGGCGGCAGGCTTTCAGATTATGGGATGCTCTCCTTCAGCGACATTCTGCCGTGAGCCCAGTAGTACAGCAACTGTTTGCAAGCCAGCGTCGGGGGCGCTTGTCAAGGCAGCTGCTTCAGCGATTGTCGGATACCACAGCTGTTCGATATTTAGCCACTGTATCCACTTTCTTCGATACCTTGGAAGATATGGGGTACTTGCTTCATGCTTCATGTGTACTTTCACAGGCGGTGGTATTTGACGCTTTCATGATGATGGTCGAGGGGCAGGCAGATCCTGAAGCGACCGTCGATGCGGCCCCTAGGGTCGACATCAGCAACCAGCTCAAAGCACTCCGCTGGTATGTTCAGGCGCTTTCCATTCCGGCGCCGGATTTGTATCAGGGCATTTTTCTTGCCACCAAGCTCCCTGAGAAAGAGCGTAGGGAATCCCTGCCACTACCCCTTAGCTTCGTTAGTTACCTCGAGCAGTTGATCTTGAGCCCACATTGCGAGCCGGCCATTGCCAGGACGGCAGGGGCCATTTTGCTCTGTGTGGGGGCTTCGCTTCGCTTCAGCGACATGCAGCATGTTCGTTGGTCATCTTTGGTGCTTGACCCCACTTGTTTGAGGGGCACCTCATATCGCACAAAAACAGGGGTTGGAGTGCCTTGGATTTGTTCCCTTGACTTTTGCAACAGTGACAGGTCGGGTCCAGCAACCAGCTGGATTATGCATTGGCTGTCTTTGCTTTCCGTTATTTGGGAAGATGTGCAACAGCAGGTTGATGACTCCGTCGACCCAGACTGCCTTCTGTTTTCCTATGCTGACGATTGGCTTAGCTGGGGCCCCGTCCCCCTTGATAGGCGTTCTCACACAGCTGTGCCGGGCTTAGCAGTCGCTTGCATCAGATTGGACTAGCAAAACGAGCGCGTTGCGTCCAAATAGCTTGGCTTCACAGTGTGCTTGGCACGCTTTTGCTTGCTTGCAGGGACAGGTTTCCATTTGACCAGGAATTTTTGCTCTTGAGGTAGCAACTGGTCCGCTTGCTAGCATGATGGGTCTTTCGCCCCCTGCCGCACGCTTTGCTGCGCTCATGCAGTCATGTGGGTTGAATGCCGAACTGGGCGCAGCCCTAGAAGGGTGGAGCGTGGAGAGCTTCGCTTGCATAGCCCTGGATCCGGAGAGCTTTGAACGGGAGATTCAATCCCTGGGGCTTCCAGAGGCTTCCCTACGGAATGCAAGACAAAAGGCAGCCCTTCGCGTGCTTTGGCGCAGATGTCGCTATGCATTGGATGCTGTTCTGACAGATGGTCGCCAGCGAGCCGCCGCTGGTTTCCCTTGCGGAATGGCTTGACCCTTTGCAGGCTTCATCGAGGACTTTGTCGGGGTTGACTTCCTGGGGGCAGCAGAGGCCTGAGCCGTCCCCGCTCGCTTCGGCTGCCCAGCCACCCTCCGCTTCGGCTACCCAGCCTACACCCCAGCTTGCGTCGGCTACCCAGCCATCAATGAAGCCCGCTTGCGCTTCGACTCTGTGTGAGTCCGCTTTGCAGCCCGCTTGTGCTGCGACTCCTTGTGAGTCAGGGATGAAGCCCGCTTGTGCTTCGACTCTGTGTGAGTCATCCCGGCTACCCAGCCTGACCCAGGTGCCCCGGCCACGACTCCTTGTGAGTCAGTTTTCCAGCAGGGGTGCTTCCCCAGCAGGGGTCGCTTCTGCACCGGCTACCCAGCCTGACCCAGGTGCTCCCGCATCGACTCCGCTTGAGTCCAACCCATTTGGGGCCCTCCTCCACTGGTTGGATGCAACCCGAGGAAGACACTTGGAAGTCGTATGGTGCCGCTTCGCCCACGCCCGAGGAGCCCTGGACATGGGACGCTGCAGCAGGCCAGCTACCCGCGGCAGAGCAAGGGGTTCTGGTCAACCGTTATGAGTGTCGGGCGCCATGCAGTCGCTGCCAGCAAGCACATTGCGGGAGGTCTGGGATGGGGGGCAGTCAACCAGCACCCCCACCAGTGTCGGGATTGCTACCAGGAAGCACGACGTGACAAGATGTTTTCCCAGTTCGCTTCGCAACAGCTTCCAGCAGAGCCAGCTACTGCCCAGCAAAATCAGCAGGATGACGGCTGGGGCTCCTGGGACTGGAAGAACCATCACCATAGTTGGGGGTGGAAATGAGCTCAACACCCCGCCCGCTTGCTTGCTTCAATGCCCGGTTGGGCTTGCGTTGCTTTGAGACACATTTGGAGTGTTCTCACGCTTTTGCAGATGCAAGAACGCATCTGCCGCTTCGTCTATGTCACAGACGGTACAATAGCCAACATGTTCTCTTCCGGCTTAAAAGTGTTTTTCATCGGGCTTTTCGTCGAAGTCGCTTGCTTTGCTTCGCAAACATGCAGTCGTCAGCACACATGTTGCTCCATGTGTGGCTCAAGTATGTGCATGTGCTTTGCGTTACACGCTTATTTCTAGCTTCTGGCGGGCGCGCCCTCCGTCGGTGGCTTGCTTGCTTCCAGGGTTTGCATTTTCTTTTGCCACCACGGTGTCCTGCGCAGGCACCATGGACGAGTGGGAAGATGACGATTCGGCTTCCGAGGCATTTCATGCTTTGCTTCGAGACTGCCGAGTGCCGGACTCAGCGTCAGCATCCCTAGTGGACTATTCCTTTGTTCGCATGCATTACTTCGCAAGAGGACGAGGTTGACAGTGTGCTTTCATCTGTTGGTATAGACTCTGGACTGCTTTCCGACCCTTTGAGCAGAGCAGCCCTTCGGTTATTGTGGCGGCGGTGCCGTCAAACGCTGGACCAGCCAGCTCGTGGTCGGAAACTTTCCCACCTAAGCTTTCACACGAAGCTTTTTCAACCTTGAAGCAGGATTTTAGTTCTCGGTATCCCTCGGAGTTGTTGGACCGGGACAACATACCAAACCAACGGGTGATGGCTTGGCTTCACCGCAATATTCAAGAAAAGCATTGGCGTCCTTGTGCTTGGCGTTTCCGGCTGTCGATCCGTCAGCAGGAGGAACGAGATCTCGGACCTCGCTTTGCAAAGCGATCCAAGCTGGATTTGAGCGAGTTCCTGATCGACGACGTGCCGACCCGGGATATAGGTCCGCAGCTTGGTATGTATGCGCTTAGCAGCATTCTTAACCTGCACACTATGGGGGTGGCCTTGCTGAAAGGAGCCCATGTGCTTACCCTGAAGGAATATGACAGGGCCTTCCTTGCCCGGGCTTCGCACAGGTTTCCTCCTGGGTCAGGTTTGCCCAGTCCCTCCACTTCGGAGCTGGAGTATGCAGATCAGCAGCTGTGGTCCGAAATCGGCATGCTTTTTCAATCCGGGTGGTCATTGGATGATTCCATTCATGAGATTGTGACGGTTCGCTCTTCTATGGCCGCTTTGCTGCAACCACGTCCTGCTCCTTTGCAGGCTTTTCCTGCTATGCGCCAGGTTGGCACCGAGCCACGCAAGGGCAAGACCAGCGGCAAGGGCAAGACAGATTGGCCCGGCAAGGGCCGTGCTTCTGGAAAAGGTCAGGGAGATGCAGGCCAAGCTCAGAGCAAGCAGAATTGGGCGGCTTCTTTTTCAGGCAAAACAATTTGCATGCGTTACAATACGCGCAGGGGCTGCGAAGACAAGAATTGCCGTTTCCTTCACGTGTGTTGCGTGCAGGACCCAGCCACACAGAAGGTGTGTGGGGGTAAGCGCCCGGCAGTCGAGCACAAAGGTACTGCCCACCGAGGATGCCCCGGCAGGAGTCTTCGGGCGGTTCCTGCTGGGGAAGAGGAGCCTACGCCCATTTTGCACAACCCATCAACCAAGCCGACTTTGCTCTTGGAGGTGGGTGACCCACACATGCGTTCGGGTTCTCCCCAAGGAAGGCCCGACACACCGCCTTCTTCATTCAATCAGCCTGGGCTTCAATCAGTTTCACCCACACCTGGGTCAGACACATTGCTCCCATGTGCACAGGGTATTTTTCTGGACATTTGCTCCGGGTCTACTTTCCCACTTGCTTCTGCAATGATGGATTTGCAGGTGGATGTTTTGCTGGTGGACGTGCTGGCCCCGGAGGCCATTGACCTTTTTGACGACCGCTCCTACGAGTTGCTTCTGCGAGTTTGCTTTTCAGGTATTGTGCGGGTGGCAGCTGCCGGGCCACCTTGCCATCTTTACAGTCGGTTACGCATGAAGCCGGGGGGTCCTCCCCCGCTGCGCACTCCGGACTTCCTGAATGGTCTACCTGGGCTTTCGGACCGTGACTTGAAACGAGTAACGGACAGCCGTGAACTTCTCACACGATGTTGCCAGCTATTGACCGCTGTCTTTGATTCCGGAGGCCACGTCTCCCTTGAGCAGCCACCTTCAGCCATGAGTTGGGAGGAGCCCGCGGTCAGTGCTTTCCTACTTCACGTGTCGGCTTCGCTGGTTTACATACCTGCATGTGCCTTTGGGGTTTCTATTCACAAGGCATGGTTATGTGCAACAGCCTTTGCGCCATTGATACAATTTGCTACTGTATGCAGCCACGACCGCGGAGCTCACTTGGATGTTCGAGGCTTGCGGGACGAATGGGGTGGCTCTGTCAGTCAACAGACGGCAATTTGTCCTGAGGCGTTGGCGAGGAGTTTTTCCCGATGCTTAGCTGAGTTGTTTGTTCCGTCTAGGGGTGCTCTGCTTTCACTGTTGGATGCTTTGGCACGAATGCCTGCCAAAGATGAACGAGCTTCCCCGCGCGTCGCAAGATGGGGGGGGCGTGCAGTCATCCCCAGACTGGTCTGCACCACCGCCCGGGACCGCTAACCTGCTGCGGGATTTGCGGCGCAACTTCATCGAGTTCTTGCTCAACAAGCAGGTCCCCCGGCGACTGGCAGATTGCAGAACCGGATGTGCACTTGTGGACCCTTTGCTCTCGGCAGCTGAAGTGGATACCTTGCGTCAGATCACTTCGGATTGGATGGTGCAACAGGGAGCGGCTGGTGGCGTGGACTGGTCGGTCCCTGACGGCCAGCCATACTGCCTCCATGCTCTCGCTGCTTTCGGCGCAGCAGTCGGTGACAAAGATGTGGCGCTGTGGCCTGCTTTGTTGCACGGTGTTCCGACTGGTTTCGACAACGACATACCGGCTTCCAACGTTTTTGCCCCTCGCTGTGTACCTCCTTCTGATGAGGACTTACAAATTTGCTTTTGCAACTGGGGTGGGGCAGAGGCTGAACCCGCTTTGCTGGCAGAATTGGTTCAAAAAGAGCTAACAGCAGGGTACATCGAGGAGGTTTCCAGCCTTGCGGATGCTCAGGAGCGCTGGGGGGATAAGCTGGCCGTGGGCCGCATGAATGTGGTCAAGGCAGAGGGCCGTAAACCTCGCTTGGTGGTGGACAGCAGCATATGCAATACCAACTCTGCTTGTGTGGTCAACGAGGCGTATTCCCTTCCCAGTCTGCAGTCGGTTCGCCACAGCTTTCCCCTGCGCGGCTGTACAGCTCAGCTTGCGGCTTTCTCTTTGGACATCGAGGCCGCCCACAAAACTGTTCGTGTGCGTGAATCGGATCGCGGTCTTCTCGGTATTCAGATGCAAGTGCCCGGACAGCCTTTGCGGTTCTTCTTCTATAAGGTATGTCCCTTTGGCGCCGTTTTCTCTGCCTTTTGGTTTCAGCGTGTCAGCGGGTTTTTGGTTCGAGTTCTGCACCAGCTGTTTTGGGTGCGCCATGCACTCCTGATGTACGCAGACGACCTCCTTGCTTTCACGGAACTGCAGGTCTTTTATTTTTTTGCATCCCTGGCACTCTGCTTTTGCCAGGTCTTTGGTTATCCGGTGGCATGGCCCAAATTTCAGTGCGGGTCC